TTTATTGATTTTGATAATAATTTAGATTCAAATCTTAACATTCCACCATGACTCAAAGCATTCAAATTCAAATAATTCTATTAGCATTTTATGTTTTTACTAGATTTATTTTCTCACATAATGTATTTCCTAAACTCTAACATTTAATGAGTTTCAATAAAAAAAAGCTAACATAGGAGTGCATAAGAAAGCATATTGTTGATATTGAAAATTGAGTAGAGTTTCACAATTTAAGTTTTTTTTTTCTTTCATATATTTATAACAGATATGATATTAAATAAACTAATTGTAAATGAGCATAATATTCTCGTTATCCTTAGAGATATCTTTTAATAATATATTTAGCCCTGTATTTTTAAGCCTTTTAAGATAGAACAAATAAGCCTCTTACTTAACGGGATATTACTTATAAGGCTTGGTTGTCGAGCTATTAAATATGATAATTGAATTTAGGCTTCTTAATTACTTGCAAAACAAGTTTCTTCATGAGATCAATGAACCTTATAATACTTAAGTTAATATTTGTAAAAGAGAATGGAAACTTTTTTAGTATATATGGTGCATACATAAAATGAGGTCTTAAAAAATGGTAGTAAAAAAAAGAAGATATAATCTTTTATGTATACTTATGTGTTATTATGTTCTTTCTTTCTAGTAATTAAGGAAACTTCTTATATATTTATCAGCCATAAACACTTTCATAGCCATAAACACTTCCATGAAGTAGTGAGATCATATAATGGGGCTTTATGTCTAAATTACTACTATTAGTAAGGTATCAAGTCAATATTAACAAATGAGAACCAACAATGTAGAAGGTTAATGGTTAAAAATGCTCTTGATACCGAGTCTTGCTTCAAAAACTCGTTAAAAGAGTAGCTAGAGCTCATTTTTATTTATATCATTATTACTATTGCTATTTTTTTTTTGTGAACATGACATCCTAAGGAGTATAATAGCTAATAGATTTTAAGGAACTGGCTAGGGAAACCATAATCTTTGTATACCAAAAACTATCTTGGATCATGTAATAATTGTCTATTTTGTTTGTTAAAAAATATCAAATAGCATGAAGAAAATATATTGGTACTAACCTTAAAAGTAAGATGGGTTTTTCCCTGCTATATGTGAATATTTAGGATTAAGTATAAAATAGATCTCATGTCGAAGGATAGCTTAAGAAAGTGTTGACGTGAGTTTTGAGTTCATTTTGTTGAAATGAGTGAGAGTTTAGCTATAAAGTCTTTTAATATATTTATCAATTAATTGTGATTTCTTAAGTGTTCCTAATGGGTTCATACAATGATGTTTATCAAGAGAATCTCAAGCCTTTGTGTATTAAAAGTGTTGTCAATGATTCAAAATGATCAATAAAGCTTGTTATAAAGATCATCTCTCATGAGGGTTGTGCGGATGTGTTGTTTTAGGTAGCATTAAGGCCAATGAGTCTTAGGATCTTAGTGGTGGATCTTGCAATTTTTGTATAATTAACATATTATCTGTCTATATTAAAGTTAATGAGTTTTGTCATATAAAATTTATCATTTAATGTAAGAATATGATGTAGATAGTAGTGTAAAAGATGTTTCTGCATGGGTAAGTGACACGACTAAAAGATTGATGTCTTCTCCCAAGTGCAGGAGTGTCGAAGTAATAAATAACCCGGCAAGACCGGGGTCAAACCA